TGGATTCTAGAGAATTTAGAAAAATAAAATAAAAGAGTGATGACAGGGATGAGGGACAGAATGATGCCATGTGGATTCTAACTTTTATGTTATAACATGTGGGTTAAGTTGGGTAATATAAAAACCGAAAACTACATTTTATTATATAAAAATTATGATCGGCAAATTTACAAAACTTAAAATTGATAAATTTCAATAAAATAATAATTTTTGTAATGAAAATTTTATTTTATAGATTATATTTTTAAACTAATGAAAGTTAATGTGTTATACTTTTAAATAGATTAAAATCTCATTTTACATAAATTTGATTTTGATAATTGGCTAACGTTTTGCTTAAATAACTAATATTTTTTATAAACTATAAAAATCATAACCATAAATTTGCAAAAAAATATTTTATACAAATTAATTATTTTAAATTTTTACACCATGAATCTTGAGTTTAAAAAGTTTGTTGATGTTTCGAAACTATTTTAGATATTAATTAAAAATACTTATATATTAAATGTGTTGATTATATAAAAATATTAGATGTTAAATGTAAACATTAATATTTCTCAAAACGTATTTAAAGTTGTATATTTTATTATACAATCGAGTATGGTAAAAAAATAATTATTGGAGTTATAAAACATATTTTTAATGTTGTGAATATAAATTTTTGTAACAAACATTATACATCATAAAATTTATATTTTAACAAATATTATAACACGAAGTCAATAAAAATGAACTTGAGGTACATGATTTGCACACGCCCTAAGAAATAAAAACAGTCCCTACAAAGAGCAAAGGAATGGTAGCTAAAAATCAAGTTTCACTTTCACAGCCCAACAAACATAGTTGCTTCATCATCTCAGGACTACCACACCTTAGCCATTGATGTTTCAAGGTTAAACGTTGATTTTTTATCAGTTCATCCCATCCACATAAGAAAACCTTCGCCTTTGCCTTGAAATAAAAATAACATGAGATTTAGAAAATGAAAAGCAGAACACAACGCACACACACAACCACATACATGCAAATTGATTTCATGAGCCTAAATCATTCTGAAAATTTTATAAACGGATAAATTGATTTCATGGATTAAACTTGTAGATAATACCAGTGTATTATATCTGAAGCACAACAATCAACATAGGAAATTGAATGCAGCAAGTCAATTCCATATAAAAAAAAACATGGTTCTCTTAGGCATTTTATGGAACACATCGAAGTTTATAACCAGACACTAACATCCACAACTCATTCAATGACATCCAAACAAACACATTAATATGAATTGGCAGACGAATTTCGTAGACAGTAAGAAGAATAATTTTGATTACTTATTTACTTGCCTCAAATGTGCAGAAAAATCTTCAAAAAAACTTTTACAATCGTTTATAATTTTTGATAAGATCACAGGAAATTTATTGCCTAATGATAATCCTCCAATTCAAATAATTTGCTGATTTAATGGGATTACGTGATGTTTTTTAAATTTGGATAGTGTTGGGAATCCTAATTTACAGGATAATTGTTCGTGATATAGAGGAAGAGCAAATGAGCGGAAAAAAAGCTGAGAAGGCACACAATGATGGTAAAAAAATATCTATTAGATTTTAAATCGTGTAAAATCAATGATTAAAACCAAGAGATATCTATTAAATTTAATTTAAAATTTAAAAAAGAGAATAATCTATTCTAATAATTAAAGATTTTTTACCAAATGTCATACTCCAATTCAATTTATTAAATGTTATTTTATAGTTATTTTGAATTATTTTTTTTCCATATGTAATTTTATGGGTTTTCCTATTTTATTATTATTTCAGACAATATTTTAATGTAATAGTTACAATAAATAGAGTATTAAATCGATATCAATTTCATTAATATGCTTACCTTTTAATTTCAAAATTCTCAAATTAAAGTCCATTAGTTTTTTTTTATTTAAACTATTTGTTTAAGTTTAAAAGATAAAAACAAAACATTTCAATTTTAATAATTCATTACCTTTTTTTATTTTCTTATAAATCCAAAGTTTTCAAATATTTAAACCTTCATATTAATTTTTTTTTAATTAAATCATGTAATACATTGGTCTTACAGCTAAGAATATGTTAAAGTGTCATGTGTCACCTTATAAATAAAATTAAAAATTAAATATAAATTAAAAAATAAATGTCATGTGTCACGTATGCATTTTTATTTATTAGATAGTATATATATATATATATATATATATATATATATATATATATATATAT